ATAACGGGAGAAATTGACTTACCTTTAGGAATAAAGTCGCTATTTATTCATGCCACGGGCAGTGATAGGTTACTTAGAGCGCTCTTCACGGCATGTGGACACACCGTCTGTGCAGAGGAGGACAGGAAAGCAGCTAAGAATACGTTCTGTGGAGAGAGGTTCGGGGTAAACTCAGCTATAAGAGCCACCTTTAAACTTGCGAGGACTGGGTGCAGAGTGTGGGTCATGCTGGGATCCTGACCCGAAACCCCCTCATTAGAAGAGGTTCCACTGACTCCACCCAGAGTTCAGACCCATACCCAAGACCCACCTCGAGAAGCACCATTTCCACTCAGGGGCAAAGGAGGAGGGCGTGGTTGGGGAACAGAGGATGATTGGAGGGAGAAGTCAGAAATACACAACAACAAATGCGATGCACTGAACCAGGGCACGCTTTTGAACATATCTGATGTTCATCGCTCACTCTGGGGGCCACCATAGAAATCTGGGACCAAAAATTCCCCCGGTGCAAATTAACATCAAACTCCTGAAGTTGAGTTCATGACCTCCCCCCCTCCTCCGCCCTACACACACACACACACGGCTGGGACAAATTCAGAGGCCAATAGATAAATTGATATTATAACAGATAGACTACCAGAACGATTTGACTAGCTAGCTGGATGTGTAGGTAGATAAGGTAGGTAGGTAGGTAGATAGATAGGTAGATAAGTAGATAGATAGATGTGAATACAAAGACAACCCATATGCCCAGTGACACACTAAGTTTCTCTGTACATGATGAATATTCAGGTGACTAACCCAATTACGTGATTTTTCTCCCTTTGGAGTCGGGGTCCAAAGCCTGACACACCACAGCGGGACAACGGTTGAGGGTTTGAGCCGTTCATTTCTAGCCGACCTTGTTGGAGGAGATTGGTCCCATCCCCGGGCTGCGGGCCCTGTGTGTTGTAAAGGCACCAGAGGGGGTTTTATTTCATTCAATGGCTTCGGGGACCTAGTCCCGGCAGGCAATTACTTGTGACATGCTGCCGAGGGAGAGCAGCCCCGCCTGGCACTGCAGCAAAACAACATTCCTTGGGGTCCGTTGTTTCTCTGGGAACTGTGTCACCAGCCTGTGTGTTTTCTAGGGGACCGTCACCCTGGGATTCACTCACTGGGGTCATTTCTGTGTCTAGCAAGGGGGACGATCTGCCCCAGGCAACACAACACACAGAGTCAGGGGCAGGGGAACCTCCAGGGCTCCTGGCTACAGGTCCCTGAGGCTCAGACTCTGGCCCCATCTTGTCCCAGAGCCGTGCCGAGACCCCAGAAGCTCTGACTCCCAGCCCCACCTGCTCGGCTGTGGGCCTGCGCCCATCAGAATCGCTGGTTAGCACAGGGCCCAGCATGGTGCTCCGGGGACCCTGGGCAGTGGGAGGGGGAAGAGGAAGAGGCACTCCTTAGGGGGCACTCTGCCCTCAGACGTGATGCTGACCTGAACCATCTCATCACAGCAGAAGGGGGTGCCATATCTCCTGGGAGGCATCTCTTGGAGGATCTGCCTCTGAAAGGTCCTTCCAGACCTCCCTTGGTCACTGAAGAGTCCATGGAGGTCTTCACGAGAGAAGCAGTGACCCATACACACACACACACACACACACACAAGAGTGTGCCTCTTCCCTTCCAGCAAGGGGTGAGGGACACACACATACACACACATGCAGAACATACCTCCTTCCCTTGGGGTTGCCTCTCTTCTGATTGCAACACTTGTGTTTGTGTCAAAAACAAATGGAGTCAAGTGATATTTTAGGATGTGAGGTCACTGTTAGTTTAGTTCTTTATGCCAACTCGTTGAGCAATTACTCCTCATGTAATAAGGATTCCTACTGGCGCTAACTGTTCAAGCTAGTCTTGTACACAGGGCTGTTGTAGCTGTCTAGGTCCATGGACACTAGAGAGGCAAAGCGAATCAGGCGATATCTTTTGCTGGACCAATTTCTGCCTCTCTCACCAATAATAAAATAAACCTCATCCACATGGTCTTTCTAAGCAATTTTTTTAAGTCTAGACCTGTGGGTCTCCTATGTTCCTGTTACCAATTTCTCATCCCTTGATCCTGTCCCTTCTATTTTATGATCATTTTTGCCTGATTATGTACGTACACTCACAGACACGCACACATGTACTGAGTTGCTATTTGCATAAGTTGTTCTTGCCTTCCTGCCTAATCATCCATTTGAAAGTGTTACATATCATTATACATGCTACATCCCAGACGTGCCTCCATTTCTGTGGTCCGGAACCCCAAGTCCAATTCTTTTTTTTTTATGTTGATTCGATGCACGGCTAAAATGAGACAAAGGAACGTAGAAGAGACGATGCCAAGGTCCCTTTTCGTTCCGAAACTCTGTGATGACCTGACAACATGAAACCCACCAGTGAGAGGTGACCATGAGTGCTCGGGATAAAGCAAACACAGAAATGATTTGTCTGGAAATGGGTGACAGGGGAGGGATTCTCTGTTCTGTTCCCTCCCTCTGGGACACCTGGCATTGGCCACTGTCAGCAAACAGGACCTTGGGCAGATGGACCATTGGTCTGATGCTGCCTGGCCGCTCTGATGTTCTTATGTCAACCTGTGGAACTCCTTGCCAGAGGATGTTGTGAAGACCAGGACTTTCACAGGATTCAAAAAAAGAACTAGATACATTCATGGAGGTTAGGTCCATCAATGGCTATTAGCCAGGATGGGTAGGAATGGTTTCCCTGGCCTCTGTGTGTCAGAGGCTGGGAATGGGTAACAGGGGAGGGGTAACTGTATGGTTCCCTGTTCTGTTCTCTCCCTCTGGGGCACCTGGCATTGGCCAGTGTTGGACGACAGGACACTGGGATGAATGGACCTTTGGCCATTCTTATCCGAACAATATAAATCATTCCTGTTTTGGAATTGCAAAGACAAAGCTTCTAAGAGCAAAGTAGCCCTGGAGGAGCAGAAGTGATTATCTCGTGGGGGTTCTTCCAAAGATGAAAACTCCGGTGCCAGTTCAGTGGGGAAATCTTGCGAGGTAACATCTAAAGGGATTACAGCATCGTTTTGCGCTCCATGGAAGGTCCCTTCAGGAGTGTAAGTTCTGCTCCCACTGAGGGATTGTTTTGTTCCCTCTCCAGACATGGGTCAAACCTTTGGGTCTAATTTACAGCAGCATCTGAGACCTGCGTCTCCCACGGATGTCAGGGAGACCTCAGCCCTTTTGCAAATGGAGCCTGTTTGTGAGCTGAGCTGAATGGAGAAGGACCAAGGCCCAGGCCACACTCATAAGCACAAGGAAAAAGCTCCATACCTGAGCTCATTGAAAAGGTGTCTTTTAACCAGTTGAAACTGGTTCTGACGAGTCTGACTCATTTGACTCTGGAAACTTCCTTACTGTCTCCAGGTGCAAATGGCCCTGATCGGTTCTGGAAAGTTCTGGCTGGTTCTGGACTCACCCTTGTTAGTATACACCGGGAACAGAGACTTACGCAATCTAGGGCTAATATATTTCCCCTCCACCACACTTGTGTACTCCTCTGGCTTGACCCTGACACCAGGGCTGCGTCTAGACTGGCAAGTTTCTCCAAAGCGGCCGCTTTTCCAGAAAAACTTGCCAGCTGCCTACAATAGCCGCTTGAATTTGCGCAAGAACACTGACGATCTCGTGTAAGATTGTCAGTGTTCTTGCGCAAATACTATGCTGCTCCCGTTCGGGAAAAAGCCCTCTTGCGCAAATGTATTTGTACAAGAGGGCCACTGTAGAGAGCTAAAAACTGTTTTGCGCAAAAAAGCCCTAATGGCGAAAATGGCGATCGGGGCTTTCTTGCGCAAAACCGCGTCTAGATTGGCACGGACGCTTTTCCGCAAAAAGTGCTTTTGCGCAAAAGCGCCCGTGCCAATCTAGACGCTCTTTTCCGCATATGCTTTTAATGGAAATCATTCCAGTCTAGACACAGCCAGTATGTATTATAAACATCCAGTAATAGAGGCAAACAGAATAATATTTCTCACTGTAAAGATATAGAAAGGCATTTCGTCACATGGCTTTACAAGAAGGAAGGAAGGAAGGAAGGAAAGATGGATGGATGGATGGATAGATAGGGTTGTACATTGAGAGAACGTCCTGTAGTTAGGTTTGGTTTTAACGTAGCTATTATTTTATGGATGTAATGCAAAGTAGGTTCAGTGCCTTTCTGAGTCAAGAATTAACAGACCTGTGTTATGCACCATGTCAAACTAGATCATCAAAATGCTCTTTTATGGACATTTAATCAATGAATCTACGATATCTACTCTGATTTTACAATCTGATCTGTTAGCATGGACCTTGGGACACAAGAAAAATGCCAATGAAGTCAAGAACCGTCTCCGGGAGCCATTTGTGACCTGATCAGGTTAGGCATTGAAAGACCTACCACAGTCTTCTGTAGGAAGTCCTTCATAAGTGCTGAGAAACGTTACAGAAAATTAGGTCAGATGGAGAATTAAGGAAATGCAATCAAGAAAGAGTAAAAAAAAAAACCCCATCAACCCTACCCAACAACAAACCTCAGATGATGCCCTGGACTGACAGAAAAGGAATAGGAGAAGCTAAATAGAATTTTCTATACAACCGACTGGAATTTTTCCAAGTATTAAAATTCTGCAGAAACGGAGGTGAACATTGTATGAAAAGTTTCTCATTCTTTGCTTTCACTTTTCAAGTTTTGAAGATCTAAAATCAGGACACTTCTTGGACTAAATATTCTCCCTTGACTTAGGGAGCAAGTTTAAATCTGGCCAAAAGTTTGTGTGAAATTTACATGAAAATTTCGAGAATGAAAATTTGTAGGATTTTTGGTAACGAATGTTTCTCTTCCCATTTCCTCAACATGTATTGAACAGGTCAACATCTTTCAAATGTCAAAATTTAAATTTAGAAAGTGAGGGACAGAGAGAGGAATTCAAAAAGTTTATGAATGGCCCTTATTAACTAACTAATTTTCTAAGTTGTCTGGTTGTGGGACAAGATACTTTTTGCTACAGTTTTTCTAAAGGCTTCCTTCACATCTTTGTTCCTCAGCGTGTATATTATGGGGCTCAACACTGGTGACACAACCGTGTTCATGAGGGAAATCATTAGATCATTCTCTGGGGTGGAGCTAGACTTGGGTTTCAGGTAGGTGATGAGGGCTGTTCCGTAGAACAAAGTCACCACCGTGAGGTGGGAGGAGCAGGTGGAGAAGGCTTTACGCCTCCCCTCTGCCGAGGGCAGCTTGAGGATGGTGGAGATAATGAGGATGTAGGACAGGATTATCAAGAAAAAAGGGCCCATGATGAAGACAACAGACACCGTCAAGACCATGATCTCGTGTTTCGATGTGTCGGCACAGGCCATCTTCAACACGGGTGGGATGTCGCAGAAGAAGTGGTGGATGCGGTTGGAGCCACAGAAGGGCAGGCTGAAGATCCACGTGGTCTGAGCTACTTCCACCGAGATGCCGATCGTCCATGAAGCTCCCAGGAGCTGCGCACATGCCCGGCCGCTCATGATGGTTGTGTAGTGCAAGGGGTGGCAGATGGCCACGTAGCGGTCATAGGCCATGGCCGCAAGGAGGGAGCCGTCTGTGAGGCCCATGATGGTGAAGACGTACATCTGGGCTGCGCAGCCCGCAAAGGATATGGTCTTGTCCTCCACCAGGAGATGAACCAGCAGCTGAGGGACCACGCTGGTGGTGAAGCAGATTTCCGAGAAGGATAGGTTGGCCAGGAAGAAATACATGGGGGTGTGGAGGGAGGGGTGCAGCTTTATCAGCAGGATAATGAGCAGGTTCCCCGTCAGGGTTACCAGGTAAATGACCAAAAGCACCAGAAACAGAAGGATTTGAAGCTTGTAAAGGTAGGAAAACCCCACTAGGATGAACCCACCAGAGATGGTCTGGTTCTCGCCGGGGTCGCTCTCTGAAGACATCATCTGTAGGGGTGGCAAAGACAGACACATTTGATGGAGTCTTTTGAATACCCAACCTGTGCACGTGAATTCAATTCCTGCCCGTTTCCTTTCCGTTGGGATGCTTCTGGCTTAAACCATCTGCAATTTCGTACGTAAATGTGTAACCGGGCCCAATCACCAACATGCAGAAACTGCTGCAGTCGTTCTGCTGTCAATCAACCGATGCCAATGAGGATCACGTTGAGACATTTTTAGTGTGTTACTAGGGAAACAACATTTAATTTACAACAGACGTACACATTGACACACAAGGAACTCTGTTAATGTACGCTAGCACTGCAGGTATCCCAGTGTCCTCTTTATAGACAATCTTTTTCTATGTACATAAAAATTCACCTTCCTTCCCCCCCACACCCTCTCCCTTCCTCCCTCCATCTATCTATGCATCCATTCCCATACACCCTCTCCACTCTCTCTCTCTCCACTCTCCCCGAACTACAACTAACCCCCAACCCTCCCCTGAACAACAGCTAACCCCCAACCCTCCATCTAGAGCTAATCCCCAACCCTCCCCTGTCTACAGCTAACCCCCAACTCTCCCCGAACTACAACTAACCCCCAACCCTCCCCTGAACAACAGCTAACCCCCAACCCTCCATCTAGAGCTAATCCCCAACCCTCCCCTGTCTACAGCTAACCCCCAACTCTCCCCGAACTACAACTAACCCCCAACCCTCCCCTGAACAACAGCTTCCCCCCTCTCTCTCCCCACACACCTCCTCTATCTATCTATCTACATACACTGCCTCTATCTTCCATACTTCCTTCCTAGGGTGAATTCTGATTTCCCCTGTATCTTGATCACCAGAACAGGTAGACGAACACAAGCATTCTCGTCTAACTCACATAAGTGAGGGCGACTCACATGTGTGAAATGTTGGTACTGAAGAATGAAAAGCATAATGAATGTTGTAAAATGATGTTTTTCACTAAATGTTTGAGAACATTAGGAATCATTGAAAAAGGGCTAGACAACAAGACAGAGAACATCTTATTGCCTCTCTGTAAATCCATGATATGCCCACATCTTGAATACTGCGTAAAATGGGATCGACTCATCACAAAAAAGAGATCTTAACATTGGAAAAAAATCAGAAAAGGGCAACAAAAACGATGAGGGGATTGGAATGGGTCCCATATGAAGAGAGATTAAAAAGACAGGGATTTTTCATCTTAGAAAGAGGAGACTAAGGGGGGATAGGAGAGAGGTCTATAGAATCATGACTGGTACGGAGAAAGTGAATAAGGAAAAGTTATTGACTTGTTCCCAAAATATAAGAACTAGGGGTCACCAAATGAAATCAATAAGTAGCAGGTTTAAAACAGACAAAAGGAAGTGTTTCTTCATGCTGCGCACAGTCAACCTGTGGAACGCCTCGCCAGAGGATGTGAAGGCCAGGACCTTAACAGGATTCAATACAGAGCAGATAAATTCATGAAGATTAGATCCAAGAATGGCTATTAGCCAGGATGGGTAGGAATGGTGTCCCTAGCCTCTGTTGGAGGTGGAAAGGGGTGACAGGAGAGGGATCACTTGATGATTCCCTGTTCTGTTCCCTCCCTCTGGGGCTCCTGGTATTGGCCACTGTGGGCAGACAGGACACCGGGCTGGATGGACCTTTAGTCTGACCTACGTTGACATCTGTGAGTACTTCACCACAACCATTTTGGTACACGAGATGTGGTTGGGAAATTAAATTTCCATCTCCTGAGGACTTTTCACATTCCGATATTTGTGTTCGCCCGGTATCGATGTGAAAAGTTGAAATTCGAACCCCACAAGTTTCGATTCACACGAGTCAATACGGCATTGAAAGGAAAATTGAAATCAGTGTTTCTCCTGGACAGCGGTGACAGACACAAAGACATTTTTTTCAGAGCTGGTTTTTGATTTATTTCTTTGTGGGCTGACCGTTGGCCAAGGTCTAAAAAAATGGAGAAATTCACTCACCTTTAGCAATATGGTCAGTGTCGATTCTTGTCCCTGCCACTTAGGGTGATATTTTCTGAGCTCGTCTCGGCGTCTGCCCCTCTATCTATAGTCAGGAGAATACAAAAGCAGTTAAAGAAGGGCACCTTTTGTGGAGGAACAACAAGGAGTCCGGTGGCATTGATGCTCTAATACTTTTAGTACTCCAGTCATCTGAAGAAGTGGGCTGCGCCCTCATAATCCCATCTACATGTGTTGTGAGTCTCTAAGGTGCTGCCAGATTATTCGTTGTTGCTTAAATTTTTCCAGTTACAGGCTCTCTTAGCTCCCCCTCTGAAGCAAATACATTTGTTAGGCTACATCTAGACTGGCATGATATTCTGGAAATGCTTTTAACGGAAAAGTTTTCCATTAAAAGCATTTTCGGAAAAGATTGTCTGGATTGGCAGGATGCTTTTCCGCAAAAGCACTTTTTGCGGAAAAGCATCCGTGGCCAATCTAGACGTGCTTTTCCGCAAAAAAGCTCCGATCACCATTTTCACGATTGGGGCTTTTCTGCGGAAAAGAAATCTCGGTTGTCTACACTGGCCCTTTTGCGCAAAAGTCTTTCAGAAAAAGACTTTTGCCCGAACGGGAGCAGCATAGTATTTCCGCAAAAAGCACTGATTTCTTACAGTAGGAAGTCAGTGCTTTTGCAGAAATTCAAGTGGCCAGTGTAGACAGCTGGCAAGTTTTTCCGGAAAAGCGGCTGATTTTCCGGAAAAACTTGCCAG